TGTCAGTTCTTGAATTTTTCCCGGAGGGAAGTCGACTTTCGCCAAGTGAATGTTGATTCCGTATTTATTGGCCCGTCTAATGTCAATGAAACCCCCACAGACGACAGAAAAGACGAGAAAAAAAATTTTCATTTTCACGTGAGTCAAGGGTCAGATCTTGGATTTTCTCAGAGGGAAAGTCGACTTTCGCGAAAATCGAATTTTTCGGGGAATTCATTCAATTATACGTAAATAAAAATTTTCTATTAACATTTTATCGAAGGGCTGAGGTGAGAGATAGAACCGTAAAAAAGACAATCGGTTGTATAGAAGAAAGGAATAATAAGAATAATTATGATGATAACATTCAACTAAGTTGCAAATCTGACAAAATTAGTTGAAAAGAAATCTCATTCAATTTAATAAAATGAAATAAATAAAATAAACATTCGGAGCCATAGTGCTAATTTATTAGCAAAAATAACTATACTATATGCAATACAAGAGCACCTTCCCACTTGTTTTAATTTTGTTAAAATAACTATAGCTTAATTCTTCTAACATTCATTCTTCCTAATTGTGGCACGAAGGAAAATTCGCAAAGTAGATTTTTTTAAATCTACAATAACTCGAGATCGGCAGAGTGAACGTGGCCAATTATTTTTTCATTTTGAAGGCATTTTTTCATGCTTGAAAATGAGACCAGATCCACCGAAATCGGATCATTCAGTCTGGAGATATCGGTGATTTAAGAGTCTGCTTCACTCTTTTCTTTATCCGCGTACATGTCAATACGAATGTACGTGTTATCTCTTCATTCAGAACCGATAGTTCTTCTCTTCGGTGGTGGACACCCACCCCTGCCGAAAATCTCCGAGCATACTTTCCCAACTCTCCTCCCAAGTCCCTCAGAAAATCTCACCGCGGTATCATCGATCTCAATGGCTTTCAAGTAACATCCTGTCTCCTCCGCCTCGCACGGGGCATAATGGTGCAGGAGAGCAATTTCCGGGTCCACCACGAGCTCTTTGAACTCTGAAAAAAGAACAGTTGTCATTCTACTTGTGCTGATGCAGCAGTCTGCATTGAATTTCACTCTATTATATTTTATGATCTTGAATGTTTTTTATTACCTCTTTGTGATGACATCAGTGAGCCCGCTCGGAACTCCCAGACATTGTAGCTACCTATTTCCACTGTGTCCCGACCGCGGACGATATATCTACTTCTCTCTCGAGCTTTGTGGGGCTTTTTCAAACGCTTTGTTTTGGCTCTCGTGTAGAGATAAGGCTCTGGTACGAAAAAATGAAATATTTCAGTTTTTTCTCAGAGAAAAAATTGCTTGTTGAAGAAAATTATATGTTGCTCTGAAGAGATCTTTTGTCGTGTTGAATCAATTTACTTGTGGACAAAAAAGAAAGTTTCCACCAAAACATGATAATTTTCGTAGTAGTAATTGTTCTCGTAAGACATTTATACGTCTTTCGGGTAAATACATTCGTTCTACAGAGAATTATATGAGGCTCTGGTTTTATTAAGTGAATGTTATTGAGTAGTGCATATGTTTGTCCAGTAAACACTTATATTTCCTTGGAACAAATGATAATTTCAAGAGGAAACTACAATTCTCTTGCCGAAAACTGTGTTATTGGCAAAACTTAATAATTTCGAGGGGACAATTTTTTTTGGGAAAAAAATTTTCTTTCCTCGTCAATGTATTCTTTCTGTGGTATAAACCTATGGAATTCTCTCAGATCAAATGATTGTCGTACAATAGATTATATTTTTTCCTGCCAACAGTTCGAATTCTTCTAGGAATATTTCTGATGATCACGACAAAAATGTAATTTTTGTGAAAGATATTAAATTTCCTTCCTGTTGTGGAACACATAATTAAATGTGCATAAAACACATCATTAATATATTATGATATATTTTAAAAATATATTCATCAAATTACGTGGGAAAAAATGAAGTGGAAACAGCAAGAGTGATGACATCTGTCGTTTTATTGCCATCGTCAATTCCCATAAAATTTGATAACATCCAAACGTTTCGCCACTTAAATTTCCGTAAATGGAATCACGTGTCAATTAAAACGGTTATCAAACCGCGCCTCCATCAATTATTCATCGAGCTGATTGAATTTATTCGTATCATTAAATGCCGAAGGGCCAGAAAAAAAAATGGAAAATAACTCACCTTTTTCCCGGGCTCGCTCATCATCCTCGTACATCGTATAAAAATACACATTCCTGAATATAAATCCAGCGAATTCGCTCTGATCAGGCGATGAATCGAGTTCGTTCATCAGTTCTCGAATATTGTCGTGACGTCTGGGTACCAGAAACTCATCAACATCGAATGTTGCCACGTACTTGTATCTATGGTGATGAGTATTTCGGTAGAGGCAGTCGTTCAATGCTGCAAAGAGGCCCTGATGTCGGAGAGTTTGCTCGTAGACGTAGATCGATGGTAAAGTCCAGTTGAGAACTGTCGCTGTTAACTTGAGTTTGTAGTACTCTAGGACTTTGTCTACATCCGGGGAGACTGATGAGTTGTATATGGTGAAGTGGTCGATCCCCATCATTTCGTAGTACTCGATAAACTCGATTAATTCGAGGGGACGATCGAAATTGTGGTGGAGAACTAGAATGAAAATTAATTTTCTCACTTCAGGTAGAATGAGCCTCAATCTTCAAAAGCTTCTGATCCAGGGGTGCGATTTCAACTAGTCAAAATTCATTTCAAGGATAATTCATTGTTTATTTCATTTTATTAAATTGAATGAGATTTCTTTTCAACTAATTTTGTCAGATTTTCAACTCAGTTGAATGTTATCATTGTCATTAAAAGCTATTCTTATTATCGTTCTTCTGTACAACCGACAGCCTGAAAAAATATCCTCAAAGTTATAATCGCGAAATTCACCTCAGCGGATGTCGACTCATCAAAAATTGAAGCCGATCTCTTGTATTTCCGAATGAAAATACGACCCACCTGGCACGCACACAGCAATCGAGCTACCTCCCCCATAAAACTGGTTCAACCCCTCCTTCGGGTAATGAACATCGACGAATTGTCCACCACCTCCAATCCCCACAGCTTCCGGGAGCTGTTTGAAATTATAGAAGAACTCGTAATCATGTGCCCAGAGGTACGTCAGATCGCAGACGACGAGGAATGCTGAGTACTCCAGGTCCCAGTGCTCGTTCAATATCCTCACCCGGGCTGGGACCTTCCTCAACATAATTTTTCGTTCGTTGTCCTCATATTGAAGAACGCATGTCAGATCCTCGCTTTGAGTTTTGGTCGGCAGTAAAGCTGTTACGATTAACTCTCCCCACGTGCTCTTTTCAGAGTTCGAGTACTTGACGATGACCTCGGGACGGGTGTCCAGATAAACCGAGTAAATATGTCCGCTTATATTGTCCAAGGGAATCCACTCATCTCCTTCTGTGAACGCTTGTCTGGCCATATACTGCAATTCCAGGTCTAGAATGTCTGCTATGCGGTCTTGTAAGGCGTAAATTTCCCTGATTTTTCTGTCTCTCTGAAGGACAGAACGATGAAACGATTGGATATTGCCCTCGACAGGTCATTTACCATCTCAGAAAAGTAAATTTGTCACTCACCGATTTTCCGACGATCGACAAACTGACGATAACAAGTCCGACAAATGTGAAAGCTATTTTCGAACATCTAGACATCGTCCAATTGGAGACTATGGGTTTATGGATTAGTTGATAGGTCATTATAATGGTATTTACACTAGTTGAGTAGTCACGCGCCACTACTCAATGTCACAATTTTCTGGCACTTGGGAGTTCGCCATTTTTACAATTCGATAACTGACTCCTTTCCGCGAGGAGAAATACTATTCAATACCTGGAGAGTTACACGACCGACTGATAGAGCACGAAATTTCCGTTATCTCTGAGTGGTTGAGATAAGAGTTCACGACGTACATGTTAAATTGTACTGAATGAGAGTTGAGTAGTGATAGTGGTTTATTTGTCATCTGTTGAATAATCGTAATAATAATTTAACGGAATTTATTGGAAGAAAAATACAAAGTAGATCCCTCACAATAGGCCATCGCCCGAGGGCCTTCAGCCAAGTATATACATATGAATAGAATTTTATATTTTGTTTTTGTTGGTGTAGTATTTAGAGTCTAATGAATTGAAAGATGCGTATATAGTGTTCGGAGTCTAAAAGAGTAGATCTGATAGATTGATGCGGTACTGTTACATGTATTGGTTTAAACGGATGAATGAGGGTACACTGTTGAAAAAATTTAACTGAATTTTCCAGAAAATGACACTGAATTCAATTTAACGGAAAAAAGTCTATGAAACTTCAAGTTTCCCTGAAAATTCAAGGAAATTCCTAATTTTTCAGTGGAAAAACCATGAAAATTCCGAAACTTCCATGAATTTTCAATGTAAGCATGATAATTCAATAAGAAATTGCTCTGAAATTTCAAAAAATTGAAAATTCAAGGACATTTTTGCTTGAATTTTCCCAATTTCCATGAATTTTCATGGAATAATTTCACTGAAATTTAAAATTTCCATGAATTTTCCACGAGAATCACGAATTTTCAATGGTAAAATTCCCTGAGGTTTCAATGAAACCGTCACTTGTTTCATATTTCAAGACTAAAGTCCGGAAACTTCAGTGAAAATTTTTTAACAGTGTATAGGGTACAGTAATTTATTCAGGTGTTATTCCCCCCATGCGTCATTACTATATAAATTTATGCGAGTGGATTGTAGATTTTCGAGCAGGGTAAGAGGCGGATATTTAAACCTGGATCTAGCATTGGGGTTACGCTTATGGCAGAGGTCAGGAATATGGTCCAGTTTATTTAATGCAAAATTTGATGTCAATTGGTTGAATCTGTTGAGGATGGGCTGAATTGTGGTGCATTCATAATGGAGTTTTCTGTTAAATAGGAATTGTTGGATAATTTTAATTAGATATGTAGGGGTGTTAATTTTGTTTAGTTTGAAAAGTAGGTCTTTATGCCACACACTATCAAAAGCTTTCTGAACGTCTAAGAAGAGTGCGTTGATTTTGAGATTGTTTGTGTTGAATATTTGGGGAACATTCAACAAGTAATAAGTACTTTGGAAATGGAGGGGATTTACTGAGAAAATGAGTCCATTGTCAATAGAAATATTAAATTTATTACTCGTTAATTTACAAAAATTACAAAATATGGAGGGTAAATACAGAAAATATCGTAACTTCATACATAAATTTGGTAGAATAGTGAAATTGATAATTCTTGATTTCAACATTCACTGACAACATTCTACCACTTGATAACAGAATCCAACCATCTATCAATTTTCTCAGAATTAATCTTCACCCATTTAATGTTATTAGCGACAGTCTCAAGAGCCCTTGCCCTGTAAGCCTTCCCGGCCCCAGCCTCCGGATACTTATCAAAGAAAGCCTTCAACTCCTGCAGCTTAATCTCAGTAGCGAAAGAAGCTGCTATTCCAGGTACCAACTGTCCCAAATACCTATCATTCAGCGTGTACCGTTTCACCAAGAACTCCCAGTTCTCCCTGACCCAGTCCCAAACTAGAGGGGTACCTATGGGATTCCTGGATATTGCCAGAAGACACCCGAAAGTGTCCTGAGACCTCACATGCTTTTCGTCAACTGCTATTCCAATGAATTTACTTAGAAGCGAACTGGACTGGACTCCAGCCAGTCCTCGCTGGAGATTGAGTTTCTCACTGGCATCAGTCTCATCGATAAACCTCTGGAACATCACGTTCCACTCAGCCTCCTTGCCAACATGACTCATTCCATACTTGTAGACAGCTTCCCTGATGTCCGGGTGGGGCCTCACGTCTCTTACATCGTCTATCCACTTCTTGAAGATTTCGCCGACGTCATCGAGGCATTCAGTATGCCCAACAGTGCAGGCAAGATTCAGAACTGATGATCTCAGTCTACGTGTGTCGTGGTCCTCAAACTCGTCCACCTGCCATGTGACATCGTGATAGGGACTGTCCACCAGTTTCCTGAGGTATTGCTGAAAGATCAAAGCGATTAATTCAAGACGAAATCCTGGAGGTGAGCGAGACATTTGCCCTGTACTTTGACAAGACACTTACCCTGTACTTTGGCAAGACATCAGTCGACGCCAGAAGTTTATCAATGTCCTTCAGCTTGGCAGCAGCCACCCTCCAGGGGGTGGCGCTCTGCTCCTTCTCAAGATAAGACGTCATGCTCAAGGCAATGGTGTAGTCTAACTGACAGGCATGAGCCAAACTGAAGGCATCCTCGATAAGGCTAGTTCTGTCGGAAATAGACAGCCTCTTGTGGTGGCTTTGCAGCACTTCAACGAATGAATTCCACTCCTGGATGTCATAGTTGACTCGGTAATACCCCACCTGATCGTGATTGAACTTCACCCACTCGGCTGGTTCGGGCAGTTTGATCTCGAGTTTAGGGGCGTCTTTGTCGAACCAAATTAACGTTGGTACTGCATTCTGATCGGTTATGTAGGTAATTGGAATTGTCCATTTGTAACCGTAATCGGACTCGGTGGGATCGTATACAGCGTCTGGATCGGCTAGGAATCTCTTCTGGGTGAGGGTGAATGTCGTACCTTTTCTCGTGACATTGACCACGGGAAAGCCCATTTGCCTCGTCCAGGTATCCATTATCGCTGTGATATTGATTTTATTTCCCGCTGATGTCTGCAGAATTCGGAAGAGATCAGCGGTCTCGGCGTTGCTGTATTCGAATTGGTTTAGGTATGTCGTTACACCCCAGTTGAAGGTTTCTGATCCTACGAAGTTGTCCAGCATACGGAGGACTGATGCACCCTGCAAATTCATCAATTTGAGTAGTTGAATAATAGGTTCCACCAGTTATCAACTGGATGACATTTCAACTGAGATTTATCAACTGCGACATTTAAACTGTGACAAATCCACTGGAATTTTTCAACTACGAGACTTGAGCTAGGTTTTAAACCACTACTTACGGATAAAAAATTAACAATAATATAGCGGTGAATAAAAAAACACAAATACTTGAACTAAATAATCAATAAGCCCAAATTTAATTAATCAACCGATACTCGCGGTTGTAAAACATCATCGTTTAACATATTCGATCCGACTAAATTGCTATAAAATCACTTCGTGATGATTATCCTTTCCCATTTTCCTTCTGTATTTATTTTAGTTATTCGGCTGATAGAGCGATACGGAAGATCTATATAAGAGTCAACACACGGCGAAAGCACCTACTATACCCTTCTTAGCTCATTCGGTAATCATCCGAGTGTATGCCAACAAATTGAAGAAATCTTGTCAAAGATATTGTAAAAACGGCAGTAAATATTGTTCAAAAATACATTTGAATCCTTGAAGAAGAAAAATTTTAGTTGAAATGTCGCGGTTGAAATATCATTCAGTTGATGAGTCGTGTCACCGTTGAATAATTGTTTTCTCAATCTGAAAAACTTTCGATCCGTTTTCAAATGACAATATCTCGAGATCGGCTGAGTGAATTTCCTCCATCTTTTTTTCATTTTGAAGGTATTTTTTTAGCCTTTAAAATGATTTTTGACTCGTCCAAATCGCATCACTCGATCGAGAGATATTGCCGATGAAACATCATCCGTGAAATGACCAACTCACCTTGCTATAAGTTATCACATCAAAAATGGCAGTAATCTCATCAGGATTAGCAACAGTTTGTACAATAGGATGTGAGCTGAGTTTGGCATCAGTAATAAAAACCGGATGAAGTGTTTCCGGCAAGAATCTGTTCATGACCCCCCAATCCGGTAGAATGGCGTCAGCACTCTTGTACTGCATGTAACTAGCAAAACCCTCATTCAACCACAAGTCGTGCCACCAGCCCATTGTGACTAGATTGCCAAACCACATGTGAGCAAATTCATGAGCAATGACCTGAACAATGCCCTCTTGATCAGCAGTAGAACTGGTCTGCTTGTCGTAAAGTAGTCTCGCTTCTCTGTAAGTGATCAGTCCCCAGTTCTCCATGGCCCCAGAAACAAAGTCGGGAATGGCAGCCATGTCGAGTTTGGGTAGTGGATAATCAATTCTGAAGAGCTTTGTGTAAAACTCGATGATCTTGACACCAATGTCCAAAGCAAACGCTGCTTTGTCCTTCTGAGCTCTGGTTGTGTAGACACTTATGGTAAATGTTTCGGTTTCGTTGAGTTTTCTTGCTGGCGCTGTTACGGAGACAAAGTCACTGACTATGAAGCAGATGAGGTATGTGGACATGGGCACACTCTTGGCGAATGTCACCGTTGTCAGGCCTAGATCGGGCTCGTTGATGACAGCACTCTCGGCGTTCATGCTGGAGAGGGCGTGATAGCCATCGCCTGTTGGATGAACAAGCTTAATGGTGAAGTGGGCCTTGAAGGAGGGCTCGTCGAAGCAGGGAAATGCTCTTCTGGCGTAGGTCGGCTCGAATTTCGATGTTGCTATCACCTTGTTCTGGCCGTGCTCGTCCTTATAGCGACTTGCGTAGAAGCCGACGATCTTGTCCGGCTGGAGGGCACCCTCGAAGTCGAAAGCCAGCTGGTACATGCCATCGGGGATGTCCTCGTTGAAGGTGACCACCAATTCCTCAAGTGCCTCGACTGTGTATCTGTCCTTTATCGGGATCTCGTGGTTCTCTTCGCGGTCGAAGGTCCTCAAACTTGCTTTCGTTATGTTCAGGTCCTTCTGGTGGAGTGCTATGTAGTTCCTCTTACTTTCTACGCGGATGAGGATTGTTACGTGCCCTGAGAAGGTACCTTGCACCAGGTCAGGGTGGAGGTAGAGGTCGTAGTCAATGGGCTTGACCGCTGGTGATAAACGAAATCTAATGTCCGTTGATTGGTCTTTTGATGTCATCCTCGAGTAGGCTTGCGGACTATCTGGATCTGTAAGGTAATTGACGTTCAAGTTTTTCATTATTTCGTTGTTATTGTTTATTGGAGAGACGTACCAATGTGGGGGTAATTGGGTGCACGTGTTGTCGAGAGTTTTTGCAAGCGAAATAATCTAGGTATTTGATATGCTAATCTCCGCCATGAGCGATAGGTCATCGTATTTCAAACTGTTGATTAATACTGAATGTGGCAATAATTATTGGTAATTTTTCTTCGATTTGAATTTTCCCGCTTATCTAGAAGAGAACAATATTGAGATAGGGGTGAGTTGAAGGAACTTTTTTCGATTTTCGATAATTCAAGAACCGCAGAGTCGAATTCCCCGATTTTTTTTTATTCTAGAGGTACTTTTTTGAACTTTGAAATGAATTTTGATTCATCCAAATCGCGTCGTCGGAGCGGAAGATATCGACAATTAAAGACGACTCGTTTTACTTAACTTTATGAAATTTTCAATGGCAATTGTGGGTTTTTATCCCCGAAAAGTGGCCAATCTGAGGGGTCAAAGTCTCTTACCGTGAGGTGTTTGCGATGATTGCGTGATGATCAATAGAGTAATCGTCAGAGTGCAGATTAATCCAAGAACAATGCAGAAACAGGATAGGCAGATAAAAGCCGGTGAGTCTAATTGATTCTTTCTAATGAAATTTTGCGTGCGTGAACCACCAGCGACATTACCACAATAGTCCCTCCGTGGTGGTGTCACGTGACCCGTATCATTCATTATAGGAGTGCGCAGGCGTCAGTGTCAAGGTATATGCGCGCTATTTTTTTGAATCAACAGGTTGACTGAGATATCTTGAAACAGTTGAATCTTCGATTTATCTCGTTTCATATAATTAGTGTCTAATCAACAGTTCACATTCCCTTGAATATTCAATGACTGTTGACCAATTAGTCAATATTGTCCAAGAGTTATTGTTTAATCTGGAGAAATAGAGACTGAAAATAACGGTAAAACAAATAGTGAACCTTAAATCACGTAACTGGCGCGAATAAATACAAATACTTTCTCTGTTATTACACTCGGGGAGGCACGTACTGTCCCAAGGCAAGGCTGACTTGGCACTGTCGGCCTGAACCAACTGCACGACCCACTCGATAAAAAATTTTCTCGTGTTATTACAGTCTCTGGACTTTCTCCCGAGTACAAAAGTAAAACTCAAAACACTGATAAAAAACCATTGTCTCGGTATTTTTTGAACTAGTGATATCACGGAAATGCCACGAAGAACTAAATTGATGACTACTTGGAAACGTGAACTCGACTCAATGACTCCCATTCAAATGTTTAAGCATCACCGGTGTAATTGGAACGAATTGAATAATTAGGTGATGTGGGGGGGGGGTGTCAATGGGCTGATTTCCGTGGATTTCTCGATAATTGACAGCAATTTCCGTTTTAGGTCACGATTGAATCGAAATTTTTAAGCAGAATTTATTTAATTTGAAATTGTTAAAGTGAAAAAATTCATTTCGCATGATTTTTCGGGGTTTATCGGAGATAATTGATAAAATAAATTGGAGCTTTGATCAATTCGAATAGTATTTTTCAGTTTCAATATTTCATGAATTAAAAAGTGGGGAATTGTTCTTGAATTTCATATAAAATAGTTATTTTTGCTAATAAATTATCAACATGCTTCTGAATGGATATTTTGGATATAATTTCCTTCTATCATGTATAATTCATTGTTTATTTAATTTTATTAAATTAAATAAGATTTTTTTTCAAGTAATTTTGTCAGATTTTCAACTTAGTTGAATGTTATCATCATCATTATTCTTATTATCCCTTTTTTCTATACAACCGATTGTCTTTTTTACAGTTCTATCTCTCCCCTCAGCCCTTCGATAAAATGTTAATAGAAAAATTTTATTTACACATACTTGAATGAACTTGAAACATCACGTTTGAAGAAACCATCAGAAAGCTCACTTTTAGGGAAATTCATGAAAAATTAGAAATTTTCGACAATCATAATAAAAATTAAATCAACCAATATAGCTATCGTAATTATCTTTCAACTTCGACTTAATGGCATTAAAACAAACATTTTGAGCTATGATTGAATTCATTTGAAGCATGATATTCAAAGATATCCCGGAATTCTGATTTTCAAAAAATACAAAATTTTTGCAAATTTTCAAATAACTCAAAATAACGATTATTGCTACTTCATCTTCGAAATCGGTCAAAAGGACATTCAAACAAATTTTGGAAGCCATCATTCAATCCATTCAGAAAATTTTTTTAGTTACCGTGGGACAATCGATTTTCGAAAAAATTCGAAAATTAAAAAACTAGTCGATGAATTAAATTTTAATTAATGGCGATCGATAGGGCTCAACAATATCTACATTTGAAAAAAAGGATTCAATCGCATCGATTCATTGGCGAACAATGATTTCAGAAAATTTTCATCAACTATTTAGAATATTTATGAAAATTTCATTTTCAATTCTTCATAAATTAAAAAATGAAAATGATAATTTTTCAAATACAAAAACAACACATCATTTTGCCCCATAAATTGTCAACACGAATGAAGACTAAACGTTGACCTCCAAAAAATCGTTGAAAATATCATCTGAAATGACTCTTGAATTAAGATTAATCAGTGAAAATTTATTACGATGCAGCCACAAGTAAATAACCCAATTACGCCCTCGCGATTCGTAATTAGGGTTAATCATGCGTCCGATTGAATATGTAATCGTAGTATCCCTAGGTGATGCGTGCAATATTATCACGTATTCTCCGCCAAATATTGTTCGAACAATACCGAGCATTTGTTCTCCAGTCACGAACGCTAGAATGAACGCAGAATATAAATATTTAATCTGTGTGTGCTCATTGCGCAATTGTCAAGAGCACAAGATTTACATGGTCGTATCGTAAATTAGATAACCCAGTGGTTGGCGAAAAAATTATCCACTAAGAAAAATGTTTGAGGAAATTTTTGTCGAGGAAATGTTCAATAATTCACGATTCGAGAATTATGAATAGAAATGCCAGATCAGCAGACCTTGGGCTGTTGCACTAGCAGCGTTGACTCAAATTCTGTCGACGTTTAGTTTTATTGAATGACGAGAAATATTTCATGGTGTGCTCATTCAATCGTGTAACATGACAATTATTCCAAATGTATTCTAAAGTCGTATTTAGATGAGAGAAGGTATTCATCATTTTTAATCATCAATATCTCAGGATCGGCTGTGTGAAATTGCCCAATTTTTCTTTCATTTTGAAGATATTTTTTCCAGCTTTAAGACGAATTTTGACTCGTCGAAATCGAACCATTTGATCGGGAGATATTCATGATTCAAGAAGCTCTATTTTAATTCATTCAAAAATCAATGAATTAAACACAAATACTTTTGGTCGTAATAATAATTTATTCATAAATACAATGTAAATATTAAGATAAATGGGGCCTATGTGCGAGGAGAAACTGAATGTGTTGGAATAGACCACTAAATAATTATTGTCTACCCCCTCTCTCTCTCTCTCTCTCTCTCTCTCTCTCTCTCTCCTTGAAATGTCAATTTAAAGGGAGAGAAGAAAGTAACTAGTCCTTGAAAATAAAAACAAAATAGTTCATGAGCTGAGCTCTCAGCGATACTCGAAGATACTATGTATTTCTACTTCATCTTAGTCTTGTGCTGTCGTGTCAATTATCTTGACAGCATTTCACCAACAGTTGTACAAAAAAAATTAATCATACAAGCGAAACAATATGTGATTACGTATTAACGGAAGACCGACGAACTTTGAAGCAATCGAACCCGTAGTTAACGTACATCTATTACCTTTAGTAACGTATAAAATTCGATGATTGATGTATCACCACAAAGTCTCGTTAAAAAAAATCACGCGAATTTTCGTCATTGGCCATTCATTTCTGGGCGAATTGGCTGAATGATGAGGAAAAAAAGTCACTCGATAGCGCGATTAAGTAGTCAATTCACTCGAGTTCATATTTATCATCATTTTAGTCACTCTTGTTACTGATCTCCACATCCTGTATCTCCTCAGGTGACATATCAGCGTCACCCCATCCCCATATAGCCCCCTCGTGCGAATGCTCATGATTATTATTCTGCTGTACTCTTGTACCATCACCAGTTCTAGCAGCACGTTTTTCAATCATCGAGATTGGCACTGTCTTGAGGTCATAGGCTTGTCCAATTGAAGCGAAAAAGTCAATGAAACCAGTTGTAAAATTGCCACGATAATCACCAAGCTCAGCAGCTTTGTAATCCCAAGGAAAAACGTGATGATAATTGTGCCAGCCTTCGCCAAATGCGCCAAGTGCTATCTTGAGATTGTCAGTTGGGCTTATGGATCTGTTAATAACAAAAATAATTATTAGAGTTAACTTGGTGTGTGTGTGTGTGTGTGAATTTACCAAGGTTACAGCGCTTGAGAGGTGAATGGTATTTGGCATTTTGGTGAGGTGACAAGTTATTCTTGTTTGAATACTCACTTGTCGTATGGCTTTGTACCCCAAATGTGTGCGGCTGAATTGACAAGCCAGGTGAGATTCAATGATAATGTGTATCTGAAGACTGTTATGTACCAGGAGTACATTGGCCTCTCGTTCCAAAAGTATATTGGTATCCATGTGGGTATGAGAAAGCATATCAGGGGCATGAGAAGGAGGTAGAGCCTTCTCTGCCAGACGACTATTGGATCAGCATCGAGATCACTCATGTCCACGGTTTTTCCTTTGTTTATCACGTCTGGATGTTTGCGAATTAAGAGCCAACCCATGTGGGAGAAGAAGAAGCCTCGCTTTGCGTTGTGAGGATCAGCATCGGTGTCGGTGAATTTGTGGTGGACTCGGTGATCTCTCACCCACTCGTAAATGTGATTCTGCAATAATTCGTGGCATTTTTTTGTTGTAATGTCTGTTATTATTGGATTGATGAATTCATTTGGTTCATCTTGCATTTATTACCTGGAAGGCGAGGGTTTGGAAGACCATCAGGAGCAGCCTCATAGGCCATTTTGCTTTGTATGCTCTGTGCGCCCACAGCCTGTGAGCACCAGCTGTTATTCCAACTGCTGAGGATATCGCCACTGCCCAAACTTGAAGAGAAAAATTTCATACGTGAGAGAAAATTCATTGATAAATCGGCTGGGTTCAATTGGAAATATCTTGTGATCAAGCGGTGCGATTTTGACGAGTCAAGTGCCATTTTGAAGATTGAAAAAATATCTTCAAAATGAAAGAAAAATCAGTCAATTTCACTCTGCTGTTCTCGAGTTATTGGCAATTGAAGAAATTTGGAATTTTAATGCTGAGGATTGTGTTTGGGGTACTTACACATAATAAATGTTAATAATTTTCCTTTGAAGAACAATAGGTAAGCTCCGTACAGTGCTGCAACGTGGAGGTACACGAAGGCTATGACATTTCTCCAGACAATTCGCCATTTGTATTTTGATTGTTTCTGTGGTTTTTCTACTGGGGTTTTCGATAAATTTTCCAATTCAGTCGTTTGTTTACTCGCTTCAGCATTCTGCGAGGCCTCGAGAAAGAGGGTCGCCGAACTGCCAAAGAGATTCGGTGCCATGGTTCAGGACACTGAAAATAATACGATTAATTCGTTACTAAAGTCGAAATTACAAAATTTTCAATTTTTTCAAAATTCAAAATTTATTTTCCTCTTGGGTATTTTTATCTGAAATGAATTCCATTCAGTTTTCTACTTCATATTCTGTCAAACAGTGGAATTGCGAAACTAATTTTTTTTTTCAGTGTAAAGAAATTGAAGTGACGGTTTCAAAAAATATTTTGCGATGATTAATCATTTAAAATTTGATTTCCGAAAGCTTTCACTGGAATGCCATTAAAAATGGACCTTCGTTGCTTTTCTTATTCTTTTGTACGAAAAGAGTATTGACAAAAATTTCGTCATCTCGCTGGAAATTTCGAAATATTCATTGAAAACTCGACGTTTTCATTAGTGAATGATCGAGAAAATAATGAATATAAGCATGACAATCGATGATATGCTTGTTTCACACCGTAATAATTCAAGTGTCGTGCTTAACATGCGTCACAAACGCTCGCGCCGAAGGAAAAAAAAAATTCAATGGCTGTCATTTGAAATTCACCCGGGAGATTATTAAAAATAACGTGGGATTTCACAAACCACGAATGTGAAAGGGAATTCGTTCAAAAGAGTTTGTTTTCAATGACTCACTCGTTCCCCGAGATTATTTCAGTGATTAGCATCTCGAAGATATTCCTCGAGACGTAGAATGAAAATCTGCGACACATTTTAGGGGACAGGAATGAGAAAAAGAATGAGACGTTGAAGTGTCTCGAATTGATGCAAATTCCGTGAAATAATGGCGACGAATTTTTTATGCTCAAAAAATGTTGTGCAACTGCAAAATATTTTTGTTGGTTAAGGCCCAGAGACCTTTCGAATGTTATCTGGATTTTTTAAATCTTTCGTAATCCAAAATTGTCAATTGAGTGGTACATCATGTAAAAATTCCCAAAAATTATGATAGAATGATTAAAAAAATAGAAAAAATTCTGAACTTTTTCAAAGAGCTTTTTTAATTGAGATTCAGAATGAGTTGAGAAAAGTGGAAATTACAAATATCTGATTCGCTGTGGCTAATTATCTATTAGCTCTCATTGCAGATGACAGATTGCAGGACTTAATTGACAAGTTCAGATGACGAAAGATGAAAAAAAACATCGAGATAACGTTTGAAAGATAGTACACCCGGGACTTAAATGGAAGAAAAAAAATTGGGGGATTCAATTTTTTACACAATTTTTAAAAAACAGAATACTCTGGGTCAATTAGAATTCTGGACGTAATCTAATCAGTTCAGGTGTTGCATAAAATTTGACTGAAGTGAATAAAGAAGTAGCACGCGAGTGACTTCCGTTAGATGTTCAATGAAAAATTAAGTGTCTTTTTCATTGGTGAGACAAAATGACTTGCAAATTGAATGCTTGGGGCAATATCAATGTAGTTAATGTATCAGCAAAATAATTTTTTAGGTACAGTGTCACTGGACCCGCAGCACTGGGCACTCTTTCACGGAAGAAAATGTCATTTATTGACATATCATTGCGATGAAATGTGAAATAATGACGATGTGAGATATTTTTTAATAGTAATTCAATGGTGTGTACACTAGAATTCGGAATTTACGGGCATCCAAGTACTTTGGCTATTTTTTCTGCAGTTTAATATTTTTCTACAGTGATTTTATTATTTAAACTTTATAGGTCTGAATTTGAATTTCGATATTAATGCGTTGGAAAACATTTTAAACATCTGAAAAAGATTAGAAATTTTCTTTTGGAGGAAAATTGATAAAATAATTTGAAAATTGCGATCATTTTTCATAAATAATTGACAAATTTGATGATTGAAAATAGGTAATTCTATAGTGTGTTCTGTACCAAACAGTAAAACATACTTGAATATCGTCAAGGTATATATCAAAACAATATCATGCAAATGTTAGTCCTTATGAATTTTCGGAAAAAAATCTAAATAACTTAATTTATGGCATTTTCATACGTTATTGAGTCTTTCTACCCTCATATATTATTGATGAAGGCAACAATAACTGTTTGAGCCAAATCAAAAATTATTTGTTAATTGTTTGAATCAAATAAAAAATCATTTCACAAAATTTCCATTTTTAAGAGTTGAATATCGCAGAAAATATGTACTACAAAATATTACAAAAAATTTACCGTATTCGGAATTTATCGATCTACCGTGAATTAGTTTTTTAAGAATATCGTAAGAATCGTTTTTTCATGACACCGAAACATCGCGTTTTTATATCTGGAGAATATTATAAACATTATCTCCGAAAGTATGAAGACAATCGTAACAAAAACCTGTTTTCTCGGGATATTAACCCTCTACGGTGAATTTCAATGTCCCCACTCTCGGGCCATCGAAGCGGAGTACCGGCGTCCCCACTCGAGCACTTTACTACGCTCTACTATGCTCTTCACCGCAGAGGGTTAAAGTGTAAACAGCCGGGAGAAAGGATGCCAACGGTACCTGTCGGCTCCATTTTTCATCAGCTTTCTTTGTGTAATCGAGATGGAGTAAAATTCAATCAGTGTCCCACATAATTTTATCACCATTATATACGCAATCACTCATTCATCAGCCGTTACAAATTATTATGAGTGATTGATGGTGAGAGAAATTCACCGGAATCGGATAAACGGTTTCGGAGAAATCTCGGGTTTTTGATAAATGTTTGCTAATGAAAAATGCAACAATTGGATAATGACTGTGTTGAATGTCAATGTTGCATGCGGATCTGGGAGAAAAGACGTGCGTGCAGAAGTTGAATTTAAATAAACATGTATTTTCAATCAATTTAATCTCTCCGTCCGAGATTGAATGACGACAAGGTATTCATAATTTTTAATTACCAATATTTCAGGATCGGCTGAGTGAAACTGGACAATTTTTATTTCGTTTTGAAGATATTTTTTCGGGCTTTAAAATGAAATTTGACTTGTTGAAATCGAATCATTTGATCCGGAGATATCGATGATTAACGAAGCCCTTGATCGCGTCTTCCATAAAATTTATAGTAATTCGCGTTTTTAGAGCTCAATATTGGGATTCCTTTATTAAAATAAAATTTCTTTTGAGATACATTCTCGAGTAATTATCCAGCGACGCCTCTTTCTCTCGACATGTAGTCCACCACTGGATAAAAACCACAATTTCTCGTGTATTTTCATCTCAATAAGAGTGTCCAAGATGAACGGAATTGCACCGTAGTATTTGAAACGAAACGGTACTCGTTGCCCACTCGATACCGATGAGAATTTCAAGTAGTAGGGGAAAAGTGAAACGAGCGAGAAGGACGTTAACTGGTGAATCTCGAGCGCAAGGAAGTGAGATGAAGTGTCTGTAGCGGTTCGTTGAAACATGTTCCATTGGTGAAGATCGAGGCCAATGGAGATTTTCAGGTCAACGAGAATATGTTTATCCTGCCGGCGCGATGCCGCACAGCCGAGTCACTAACCACAATTTTTACTTTTTAACGGTGGGGCAAAATGGGGGCTTTTCACTTTTTTTTTGTATTCAAAATTGCGAGAGGGGTTCATCAGTAAAAGGGGAATAGTCGTATTTTCCGCGGGGAAATAATTATCTTCAGTGAGGGAATGTGATGTTTTGATTGCGAATGGACGCTTTGTAATCGTTTGAATTTAAGTTTTGGACGAATTGATGGAATTGAATCTTTGTTGTCAAATGTAGGTATTGTTGAGCCCTGTCGATCGCCATTAATTAAAATTTAATTCATCGATTATTTTTTTTAATTTTCGATTTTTTTTTGAAAATCGGTTGTCCCACGACAACTAAAAAAAATGTTCTGAATTGATTGAATGATGGCTTAAAAAATGTGTTTGGATGTCCTTTTGACCGAGTTGGAAGATGAAGGCGATAGTAATAATCGTTATTTTGATTTATTTGAAAATTTGCAAAAATTTTGTATTTTTTGAAAATCAGAATTCCGGGGATATCTTTGAATCTAATGCTTCAAATGAATTCAATCATAGCTTAAAATGTTTGTTTTAATGCCATTGCGTCGAAGTTAAAACATGATTACGATAGCTAGATTGGTTGATTTGATTTTTATCATGATTGTTGAAAATTTCGAATTTTTCATGAATTTCCCGGAATGTCAGCTTTCTCATGGTTTCTTCAAATGTGATGTTTCAAATTCATTCAAGTATGTGTAAATAAAATTTTTCTATTAACATTTTATCGAAGGGCTGATACCTCCTTCTCCCCGGGGAGAGATAGAACTGTAGAAAAGACAATCGGTTGTATAGAAGAAAGGGATAATGAAAATAATGATGATGATAACATTCAACTGAGTTGAAAATCTGACAAAATTTGTTGAAAAGAAATCTTATTCAATTTAATAAAATGAAATAAACAATGAATCATACGTGATAGAAGGAAATGATGTGCAAAATAAGCATTCGGAAGCATATTGCTAATTTATTAGAAAAAATAACTATACTATATGCAATTCAAGCGCAATTTTCCACTTGCTAAAATGTCAAGTGTCCTTTTTGCCAAATTCTTTCCTACTTCCTTGTATTTAGTCAACGGCTATTACACGCATGCCTCGATGCAGTAATTATTGGGTTGTTTGTTTGACGTCTGGGGTAGTTATTAGTTATCTTTAGTCAGGGTTCTGCTTATCAAAGGTCGTTTATTTAGACGTTTAAGTGCGGTTTCAGGTGTTTTTTTTTGCCCCACACGTGCCGATAAAACGAAGGTATTTTTCAAGTAAAATTGCGAATTACAGAGGGGAAATTTATACTTCGTTGCACGCTTCTTCTTCATCTCGAATGAAAATTTCGAAACGCGTTTTTGGTCGTCACACGTGAGCCGGCTTTCAGTAATTTTTCTCACTTCCGTGAGAGAGAAGTGAACATTTAACGATTGAGCGAATAATGATGATAAATAATATCCGTTTGTTTTGCATTTCCGGTTGCACGAAGTGTATGGTTTAAACAGTTTCCGTCAATTTCATACGTAAAACCGCGAAATTGAAGAAAATAGTGATTTGATTTGATTAGTTATGTTAATTTATTCATTTCTGCGTTTTTTAGAAACAAAAAAATTGAAATTGACTCGGGGAATTGCCGGATGGGTTTGAATAATGGAAATAGTAAACAAAATCACGTGATATACGGTGCGGCGAGTCAGAATTTCTTGAAAATTCCCACGAGAATAAAAACAATTTGAACAAAAAATTATCAACTCGTGTCACCAATGAAAAACTTGTCATGGATAATAATTTTAAAAAATCAAATGATTCGATTTAATTACTTATGTTAATTTATTTATTCCTTCGTCTTTTTGAGAAATAAAAAAATTGAAATTGACTCGAGGCATCTCTCGATACGTTCCGATAATGAAAATAATAAACAAACTCGCGTGATATTCAATACAACCAGTCAAAAATTGTTTGAAAATTTCCACGAGAATAAAAAAAAATTGCCGACTCGAATGACCAATGAAAAACGTTTCCGTCTTTTTTGCGAATTCAGGCCGAAATACGGGGATGTATAATAATTTTAAAAAAATAATAATTTGACTTGAGTAATTATGTTAATTTATTTATTTCTCCGTTTTCGAGAAATGAAAAAAGTCAACCCGAATCACCGATGACAAACGTGTCCGTTCGGTTCGCGAGATCACGTCGAAATTCGGGGATGGATGATAATTTAAAAAAATCAAATTATTTGACTTCATTATTCATGTTAATTTACTTATTTCTTCGTTTAAAAAAAAATTAAAATTGACTCGAGGCATTTCTGGATACGTTTGAATAATGAAAATAATATACAAACTCACGTGATATTCAATACAGCCAGTCAAAATTGCTTGAAAATTCCCGCGAGAATTAAAAAAAAAAAATTGAAAAAAATCAAATCATTTGACTTGATTATTCCTATTAATTTATTTATTTCTTTCTTTTTGAGAAGTAAAAAAATTGAAATTGACTCGAGGCATCTCAGGATGCGTCTGGATAGTAAAAATAATAAACAAACTCACGTGATGTGCGATGCAGCCAGTCAAAAATCCTTGGAAATTCCCACAAGAGAAAAATTGGAAAGAAAAAAAATTGTCGATTCGAATCACCTATGAACAACGTGTCCGTTCTGTTCGCGAGTTCACAAGGAAATACGGGGATGGATGAGCGTATGTCCCACTTATGGAGTTTCTTGTTGCCCCCCCAGTTCATTTCTCACTGACCAAAACAGTTTACCCCCACCAGTGGGAGGAAAAAAATGAAATGTCGACGGTGTGGACTAAAATCACTGGATGTTAGAAAGGCAATCACCGCTTGAACGCAAAAAAATGTCATCATTTTGGGAGAGAGGAAGACGATGACACTCGTCAATGATATTGTTCTTCACATGCTCGATTTCAAT